CAGGTGGAGGACTGATGATCCAGGCCAGTGTAATGTCTCCCTTCTCTAGTGCCTTTGGCTATCAGGGTCCTAAACTATAATACATGAAAGTTTGTCCTTTGTCAGGGAAAAGTTTGAATGGGTTGGGACAGCAGAGGCAAGAAAGCCACAGAGAGAATCCATTCCACGCCTACGTCCAGAGAACACTGAATTTGTGTATAACTTTCAAATTGTGTGGTTCTGTAGGGACCTAGACCCCAAGGTCAAGGTAGGATGAAAGGAAACCCAGTATGCAAGCTCCTGGACACTGGTTTTGCTTAACAGAGCCTACTTCTATCTACTTGTACATTTGGCTCCATATGAAGACAAGGTCTTACAGCTAAGACAACATTTGAAAAACCTAACACATTCTATGGTCTTTAAGGTCATCTTCTGCTTTTAAAATAATCTATAACTATTAGATTTTGAGTTACTACTTAAGCATTCATATATTTATTCCTTCCCCCAAAACAATTGGTTAGGTGACTGTGGAAAAAAATAATTAAAAAAAAAAAAAGGAACACAAGTCTCTTGACTCTCCATCCACACCTCATTCCAGCACATCTCTACAGGTTTCAGACAGAAGTGGAAAGAAGGAAGATGCAATTCTTCACCCTAGCACTAAGCTGCAAGGGCCTTAGCTGTCTTTTCTATTTTCCTATGCTGCATCTTACAATGGATTATAAATCTCACTCTAGGAAATAGGGCAGGCCATTCTGGGGAATTCACCGGTGTTCCACTCTCTTCGATGCAGTTGAAATATTTAATGAGCCAGATCCTTCTGGCCATTTGATCTTTGCAGGAGGAACCACAGCTCTAAAGACTGTGAGGCCAGGCAGGCCATTTCAATGTCAAGAGTCTATCAGCTGGAGGACTCAGGCAAAACTAGAGAATGAAGGGCTTTTGGTGCCTGAGACCAAGCGGAACAGATGTGGATAAGAGAGATGGCTGAAGCTCAGAAATCACTCTCTTCACTGTGTTGTTTCTTACTCCTCAGTCATGGCCACAGGTCAGACCTCCAGATCTGAACCTTTGGCCAGATGGATTATTTCTCTTTTTAAACTTATTTTTAGAAAAAAAAATTCTAGGAGGTAGAGATGAGTTGTCTCCAAAAGGTTTTACTTCCTTTCTGAATCAGGTTCAGCCTCACAGGGCTCAGCTTCACTTTATGTAGTTTTGCTGTTCCTGGGTACTCAGAGGTCCTCCAGTGAAGCCCCCTCTATTTCAAGAACCCCCAAAATTAAGCTGAGTGACTACAGATAAGTTTTTGGTACTTTCCAAAATTAAACTATTTCCCTTGGTAAATTTCCAGCAAATGAGCTCACCAATCTGAAAACAGGATGTGGCACAGTAAGAGCATGAGGTCAGACTGCCTGCTCTTTTCACATCGCTGTCCCAAGGCAGAGAGGAAGAGTGGTGAGGAGAGAGGAGGGACCAGAGAATGGTTCTTATAGGCCCCAAGTCTTTGAGAAATGACCACAGAGCTAAGCATGGTGGTGAAGGCCTGTAATCCCAGCACTCTTGGGAGGCTGAGGCAAGAGTATTGCAAGCTACAGGCCAGCCTGGACTACACAGCAAGACTCTGTCTCCAAAAAACAAAAACAAATCCAAAAGCTCCACAGGGGCTGCCTCTGGTCACCCTTGCACAGGTTACAGGGATTGTCCCTTGGTGGCTCCTGAGGCCCCTTTACTTGTCCTCAAGAAGGCATCTCCTTTCCAGGTGGGACCCCCTCCAGGTCCTTCCACCAGCTGGACATTCTGTCATAGGTCTGCCAGAAACCAGAAGAGAGCAGCTCTGCCTACCATGGATGGGAGATTTACATACATCCCGAAATTTAAAAAACAAAGTAAAATCCAGTTAGGAGTCAAGACAAAAACAGGGATCCTAATACAGAAAGAGAGCTTTGTGGGTGCCTCTGAGGAGTTCAAACAAAATCAGCAAAGGAGGTGGCCTGACTTCTTCCTCAGCCATCGGCCCTACAAGTAGTAGAGATCTGATTGATGGAGAAGGAGCCTTGTCAACTGAGCAGTTTGCAAATACAAGTTGTTCATACACAAATTCATAAGGGATACGTGGCTCTGTGTGTGTGTGTGTGTGTGTGTGTGAGAGAGAGAGAGAGAGAGAGAGAGAGAGAGAGAGAGAGAGAGATTGGGCTCTGCAGGAATCCACAAGGGTCAGGACTTAGGTTTGCCCCTCATCTTCTGGCGGGATTTCAGGCAGGCAGGGGGACAAATGCCAGGCGAGTCCTGAGTGCAGTGTTTGTGCAGGCGCTGCATTAGGCGTCGGGAATGAGGTGAGCGGAGAGGGCTGGAAGCGTGGTGCTACCAGGCCTCGGTTTCCCCAGGAGGGGAACGCTCGCCCCGTACCCGGGGCGGCCTCGGGAGCCCGCCAGACTGCGGGGATCCGCGCGGCCCTGCCCTGCGTTCCGTGGCATTCATCAGCCGGGCTGCGTCCTCCCCGTCCACCAGAAGCTCCCGCCGGGCTGCGCGGAGGCGGCGGCGGTGGCGCCGAGGTTGGTGGCCCCGCACCCCCTGCCAGCCTCGGGACCTCTCCCGCCCCGCCCCCCGGCTCAGCCCCCACCCGCAAGACCCCGCCCGGGCCCGGGATCCGCGGCTACAGAGCGCCCGGCCCCGCCCTTCCTGCTCCCCGGCACCCCCGCTCCTTCACCGGAACAGTGCGGGCGGCTGCGCCCTGCGCGCGGGACATGTGGCCGTGGTCCTGGGGGGCGCACGGGCGCGGCGGGGAGCCACAACCCGGTACCACGGAGTCGGGCTGCAGGGGGCTGCGCTGAGGGCTCGCGGGGCGAGAGGGGATGCCAAGCCCAGGGCCCAACCCCGCCGCGGGCGCGGCCCACACAGACTTCCCCCGGGAGTGGGGCGCTGGGGGCGGGGAAGATGCGGCGCAGCGGCGCAGACTCCGCAGGCGCGGCCCCCGGTGGGCGGAGCCACGGTGGTGGTACCCTGGGAGGTTCCAGGTGGAGAAGAAAGGGGTGGAGGAAGCCGACAGGGAGCAGCCAGAACCGCATCCTCAGAGGAGGAAGACAGGGAAGGAAGGGATTCTCGTGGAAGGGCCAGGAGAGGTCAGAGGACTGACAAGATAGAAACTGGGACAGAGCTGGGCGGGCATGGTGGCTCACACATGTAATCCAGCACTAGGGGTCTGAGGTAGGAAGATCTTGAGTTCCATCAGACTGGACTATAGAGTTCCAGATAAGCCTGAGCTATATTTGAAACCCTGTCTCAAAATAAAATAACTAAGTATTTTTAAAAAGAACGGGGGGGAGGGAGGGACGGAGGAAGGAAGGAAGGAAGGAGGGAGGGAGGAAGGGAAGGAAGGAAGGAAGGAAGGAAGGAGGGAGGGAGGGAGGGAGGGAGGAAGGAAAGAAGGAAGGAAGGAGGGAAGGAAGGAAGGAAGGAGGGAAGGAAGGAAGGAAGGAGGGAGGGAAGGAAGGAAGGAGGGAAGGAAGGAAGGAAGGAGGGAAGGAAGGAAGGAAGGAGGGAGGAAGGAAGGAAGGAGGGAAGGAAGGAAGGAAGAGGGAAGGAAAGGAAGGAAGGAGGAGAGGAGGGAGGAAGGAAGGAAGGAAGGAGAGGAAGGAAGGGGAAAGGAGGGAAGGAAGGAAGGAGGGAAGGAGGGAGGGAGGAAGGGAAGGAAGGAAGGAGGAAGGAGGAAGGAAGGAAGGAGGGAAGGAGGAAGGGAGGGAGGAAGGAAGGAAGGAAGGAGGAGGAAGGAAGGAGGGAAGGAAGGAAGGAGGGAGGGAGGGAGGGAAGGAAGGAAGGAAGGAGGGAAGGAAGGAGGGAGGGGAAGGAAGGAGGGAGGGAGGAAGGGAAGGAAGGAAGGGGGAAGGAAGGAAGGAGGGAAGGAAAGGAAGGAAGGAGGGAGGGAGGAAGGAAGGAAGGAAGGAGGGAAGGAAGGAAGGAAGGAAGGAAAGAAGGAAGGAAGGAGGGAAGGAGGGAGGGAAGGAGGGAGGAAGGGAAGGAAGGAAAGGGAAGGAAGGAGGGAGGGAAGGAGGGAGGGAGGAAGGGAAGGAAGGAAGGAGGAAGGAAGGGAGGAAGGAAGGAAGAAGGAAGGAGGGGAAGGAGGGAAGGAAGGAGGGAAGAGAGGAGGAGGAAGGAAGAGGGAAGAAGGAGGAGGAAGGAAGGAAGGAAGGAGGGAGGGAGGGACGGAGGAAGGAAGGAGGGAAGGAGGGAGGAAGGAAGGAAGGAGGGAAGGAGGAAGAAGAGGAGGAGGAGAGGAGGAAGGAAGGAGGAGGAGGAGGAAGGAGGAAGGAGGGAGGAAGGAGGAAGAAGGAAGGAGGAAGGAGGAGAAGGAAGAAGGAGGAAGGGAGGAGGAGAGGAAGGAAGGAAGGAAGGAAGGAAGGAAGGAAACTGTTGGCAACTTAGACCTCTGCAATCTTGGGAGATGATTCCCAAGACATAGAAGCAGCCATGTAGACAATCTTTTTCACACGTTTACTGCTCAGTGAAGAGAAGAGTTTGGGGAAGGATGGAGCATTTTAAAGCGTGTGTGTTTAGAGCCCAGAGCCCCGGATCAGGCCTCCCTGGCCCACCAGCTGTGAGATCTCCCTGTGCCTCAGTTTCCTCAGCTTTAAGATGGGGGTGGTGGTGGGAATCTGCCTTGGAAGGGTGGTGTGAAACTTAGATGAGCCGAGCCTGTGAAAGTACTTAACATAGCACTAAAAAGTAGCACCCATTGTTTTTCGTGTGCATTACTAGAGGAACCTAGGGGATATTTTGATGTTGATGGAAAGGAGTAGGTGGAAGGGGAGTCAGTGAAAACTGAGGGGAGAAAAAAAAGGACTGGAGAGAAAAGGGCCCAGAAGCTGTATGGGGAGTTGAGGTTTGGGTGCCTCTTCTATCCCAAACCCAGGGAAGGAGGGAACAGGTGGGTGCATGAGTTTGCAGGTTGGGGTGTGCATCAAAGGGCATATTTCTCTTGAAATAGGGCTCGTGAAGGTGGTTTGGCTGAGAGGCCCAGAGGGCTCAGGTGAGGGTGGAAGTGCTGACTTACTGTGCAGTCATAGGATGCGGTGAGTGACTTCTTTTCCAGCAGCTCCTGGCAGCCATGGTACCATGGAAAGTGGGCAGTTGGAATTATCTAGGATCAAATGACCACGTCCAACCTGGCAGGCTCACTTGATCGATGTGAAAACACTCTGTAAGTGTAATTCGTCATTTTAATCCTCTTCCCTGGTTTTGAGGACCAGACAGGCTGTGGCCATCATCTGAGTGAAGTGTCTTCCCAGCATGTCACTTGGGCCATGAACCATGCCACATTTTATCCTACTATCTCAATTGGTAGTCACAGCAGTTGGGTGAAATAAGTATTATCCCATTTTACAGATGCAGAAACTGAGGTTCAGAGATGTGAAAAACCCTGTCCCAGGACCCACAGATAGTAAGTATTGGAGCCAGGATCCCAACTCATACCTGTCTCACTTCCAAATCCACGACATGAAAACACTGTGCACGTTTGCATAGCCCCTGTAGCAGCCCAATGGAATCAAAAGGTGCATAGGGGTCGTCTTTTCCATTTGATTGATGAGACAGGCTGGATGCTCTGACCCCCACCCCAGTCTCCAAAGCTCCACCAAGCTGCCTTGCTTTCATCTCTTCTATGGAGAAAGAACACAGAACCTGTAGACCCATAGCTCTGCTTTGACTGCCACACCAGCACGAGAAGCTCCGCGACTTCAGCACACACACTTAGCTTCCCTGACCTATAAGTAGCTACAGAAGAATTCCTGGCAGGTTGTTGTAAGGACAGGAAAGAAAAACGCTGCCCAGCACATGGTAGACTGGCCAGAACCATCATTCCCACAATTCACGTTTCCTGCAAATGTGGATCTACATCCCACTTGGCTGCTGAGAGCAACTCCCCGTGATCTTGGATTTGTTTAGTGCTTTGTTCTCCTCAGGACAGGGAAGTGGTGGCACCCAAGCCGAGCATGTAGCCATCTATGACTTCCCTAGTGGGGCTGTGGCAAGAGTGCCTTGTGGAGTCTGAGGTCCCAAGTCTTGAACTTCAAAGGAGGCGAGGGCTCTGTTTGCACTGATGTGCTGTTATAGAATGCCACAGACAGGTTGAGGTCACCAGAGGCCTTCCTGCTGCCTCTGGTTGCCTCAGTCATAGGCAACCAGAATTGTAGAGCCCAGAGACCATCTGTTGCAACTTTTTTTTTTTTTAACAGATGAGGTACTACTGAAACAAATGGAACCCACTATGAGAAAATGACTGTTCCCTGAAGTCCCCCACACACTCTGGACAGGACAGAACTAAAGGACCTAGAACTTGAATTTTTGGACTTGCCTCCAGGACCCTGGGGATTTCCACCAGGACAGTGAGCATTTCCCCCTGAGAATTCTGTGCTGTTCAAAGGCCTGAGGGACAAGACAGTCCCCAGGGAGGAGGAGGAAGCCAGTGGCAACCTGCCCTGTGGTTCTCTTACTGGGGAACTCTGTGGCTGTCAAAACTCCATGACACGTGACACAGCTCTCTTTGTCTGACTTGCTCTCTTTCTCTTTTTCACTCTGAAAACTGACTGGACACCCCTAAAGCCTTCAGTCACCATCCAGGGGATTTTTTTTACCACAAAGGGTAATTCCTGCCCTATCCCTGCTGTGACTCAGCTGTGACGTTGAACCACACAAGACAGGGAGGAGAAGATAAAGCCACCAGAGACTCCTGCTCACCAGAGTGGCCCAGGCCAGGACCCACCTCTCCTCTCCCCCCACAGACTCCACGGGGCTGATCCTCCACCCTGGAGTAGCTTACACAGTCGCTGGCCAGCCTGGGACACAGATGGCCTCCAGCTCAGCCAGCAGTCCCCGCCCAGCCCCCGATGAGAATGAGTTTCCCTTTGGACTCCCCCCTACCGTCTGCCAGGACCCGTCAGAGCCCAGGGTCCTCTGCTGCACAGCCTGCCTCTCTGAGAACTTGAGGTGAGGAGCCCAGAAGGGTGGAGGGTGGAGGAAGAAGATGCCAGGGAGGGACCCCCGACAGGAGGCAGGGACAAGAGGAGCGGGTGACTTTGGGCAGGTGACTTCACTCTCTAAAACTCAGTTTCCACACCCTTTTCTCCCTGACACTGCCCCTCTGGCAGAAGTAGCCACAGAAAGACAGACATCAGCCCCACAGCCTCCATCAGCTGCTCAGGCAGAGCCCGGAGGCCCTCCCTTGCTATTTCATTTCCTGTGTGGCCAGGTGTAAAGGCTCAGCTTTCTTGTCCATACAGCTATTTTCTCCCTCACAGAGCTGTTACAAGGGCCAATCAATAATATTCAAAAAAGTTTTTATAGTAATGAATATAAATCCTCTTGGTAAATAAACTCATGCAAATATATTGCATTCCTTTGCTGGGAGCAGTTAAAGAGGACAGGATGCAGGCATATGCATATTTATGCATATATTTATGGTTAAAAGATAAATAACCCAGAAATGTGTGACATCAATAATAACATAAGCATCCTGCCTTAAGCAACTATTAGGCACCTGCTGTGTTCTGAGAACAGCCTGGAGAGTGCGTACTATTATCATCCTGTTTTCTAGATGAGGGCACTGAGAGAGATTAAGTCAACTTGCTCAAGTCAGTTTCCTGGCAAAGATCCCCTTAAAAGGCTGTGACCCATCAGTATGACCTTTTGTTTGGGGCTTTACAGCTTACAAATGTGGGAAAACTGAATCAGGCAAGTGAGAAGTTCAAAGGAGATGACAGAAGGAGGGTGCAGGGAAAGGTGGGAGGTCGTGGCAGTGGAAAGGCCAGGTGGGGGTGGAGGGGCACAGCTTGACTGCTTTCCCATCAAGCTGATGTTCTGAGCTTATCTCAGGCTTTTGGGATGGTTCTTTGGGCTTCCTTCTCCATTCCTTAAAAATCTGGCAGAGGAGGGAAGGAGCCAACCAGAGGATGAAAGAGCTCATACCCTGTCCTGCTCTTGTCTCACTCTATCTTGGTCCATCTACAGGCCCCCAGGGCCTCATTTTCCTCACCTGGAAAATGGACTAGGCTAGCAGTACTCACTGTGAGTCAGAATCACTTGAAAGTTTTGTAAAAAAAAAAAAAAAAAAATCAAATTAAATTAAAATAATAATAAAAAAAACCCACAGGTACCCATATAGTACCTGCTCAGAATCCCATAGCCACGTAGCCATGTCCAGGCCACATGGTCCCTGAGGTCCCTTCTATACATTATCGTCTGTAAGTACCAAAATTAAGAATTAAGAAGAGTAAATTTAATTACACATCCACAGTCCTTGCCTGAGCCCTTGGGGATGTGTTTTAGAATTCAGAACTTTTTCAGGTTTGAGAAAAACAAGTCAGTATACAGTGTGATCCTTCGAGCCAGGACTGGGGAAGTGCCCTGTAGTCAAGCACTTTAATGTCTGTGCAGTGAAGCATAGGTTTCCACAGGAGGTGGGATGAGGGACCAGTTCAGGTCAGGTTTGGCTACCAAAGAGGCTCACTGCAAACTGCAGGAAAACAGTGGATGCCCAGGGATTTTTTTAGGGCTCGGGAATGGGGGCTCTTGGGTTGTAAACCTGTGTGATCATTAGTATCAATGATCTGCCACTCTAGGCCACGTCTGGGCTTTAGGTGCTGTCAGGAAAGTGCCTGGTGATAGGGAGTTGTAGTGCTTCACTAGGGGGATTTGCTCATATTTCCCCAGGAACTGCAAGGATCAGCTCTGTCCCAAATGCAGAGGGAACGACCTACAACCTATAATCCCAGGAAGCCTTCTGACTCAGGAGAAGGTATGTTGGCACAGCCTGGGAAGAGCATTTGGTCACTTTCCTGATTTGTCCGGGGGAGGCCAGGTAGGCAGCTGCCAACTGGCCCCTAGCAGACATGTTCCTCCTTTGTCTTGAGCTTGGACAGAATTCACTTTTATGAGCAGGGAGGAGAGTGACATTCTCAGTGGTTAAGCAAATTGCCCAGAGCCACCTGGCTGGCTTGTGATAGATTTAGGGTGAGAGTCACCATCAATATCAGGAGTTCACAACCAGTTTATGAGCAAAATCAGCCTACCACCTGTTTTTGTACAGCTTACAAGCTAAGAATGGTTTTTATATTTTTAAGTGGTTGAAAAATTTTTTTAAAAATAGTATTTGGGGCCACATGGAAATTATATAAAACGCAAACTTTTGTGTCCATAAATAAAGTTGTATTGTTACACAGCCACTCCTACTCACTTATATATTATCTATGGCAGTTTTCTCCTACCAAGGACAGAGTTGAGTACTTGCGACAGACTTCAAAACCCCAAATATTTACTCTCTGGCCCATTACTAAAAACCAGTCAGCCAGTTCCTACGAAGGAAAAGGCATCATCATCTCACCTCTTGGGCTCTGTTAAGCTGTGCTTCTAGGAGTAAGAGACACATTGGAAGTGTGAGGTACCAAAGAGACATTATCTGGCACCACAGTTTACAACTCTGGCCTGCCCAAGCTAGAAGGACCCTCGCCTGTCCAGCCCAGAGGGTCCCATAGCTCACTAATTATGACAAAATGATAAAAATGCAAAAGCTATAGTGAATTTTTATAATGCTAAATTGTTTCCTTTTACAGAACTAACCTTTCCTCTGAAATTATGTCCTACCTATATATGTCTTTGTATAAATGAAATGACGTCATAGTGGATGATAGAGTTAGTAAAGGTCTTACTGGGTAAAATAAAAAGATGGTAATCTTTATGTTAATCACCCCAAATTTAAAAAATCAAGCAGAATTTGCATGGGTCCACAAATCCAAACATGTAGGAATCACCATACAAAATCAAACCCGTCCAAGACCCACTGCTGAAACTCCTCAGTGGCTAGGGTCTCACTGCTTGGCATGATCACTGCCCCCATTGTGCGACAGATGCCCAGCTTCTTTCAACCAAACCTCCTCTTTTGCAACAAACAGTATCCCATGGATCTGGAGCCTGGTGTCCAGGGACTATGTTGTATAATTCACTGCCTGACTAGAGGCAAATCCAAGACCCTGTTTCTCCCTTTGTAAAATAAGGACATTAAGTTGGTTCTGCAAGGCCTTTCCAGGATGTCCAGGTTCTAGGGCATCAGCTGCCAGGGTGGTTCTCCCACCTGATGAACCAGGGGCAGGCAAATCTCCTGCCTACACATCTGTACACTGCCTACACTTCTCTACACTGGTCCCTGTCATTCAGAAAGTTTGGGGGGAATTTCCTGCCCCTCCTGTTGGAGGGGGCTTCCCTTTCCTTTTCTCAGCAGAATAATAAGGATCAAGTGTATTTTTCCAGAACCTCGCCCTCTATAGTATGGTTAACATGATGCACTGATCTGTGGAGGAATTCCCTGAGCATCCCTGTTTGGCTGTCTCAGTGGACTAGCTACAACATGGGAGCAGACCCCTAACTACGGGCCACTGTGCCCCATAGCACATGGTGGGCTACATGCTTTCTGAGGTCCTACTGCTTTTCTCTTAGCAAAATTAATGTGGAATAATTTATAAATGTTAGATAACACAGTTTAGATATGTTTAATATCTCTTACTCAAATGGCTTTAATTTTTTTCATCTTTGTCAAGATAAAATCTAATATAAGTAGTAGTGCTTTAATGGAAGGGGAGCCTAGAGCCCCCTACTCTTAGTAACCCAATTTCTTTCTCCTGCCCCAGCCCCAGAGGGACTCTGGGGACTCCTGGGCCCTGCAGACCACAGTTTGAAACTACCTGCCTTAACCCAAATGAAGAGGCTTTCATGGTGGAATTATAGGCAGTTCCTAGCAGGCTACAGGGTAGGAGGAATGCTGTCCACATTTGGGCCAGAGGCCTCTTTGGTGCAGGAAGGCCTCTGAGAGGTGCCAGTCCTCCCCTCCCTGCTGGCTTCCCTACCAGTGCAGTTATCAATGTTCCCCCAGCACAAAGGAGCTGGGGATGAGTCAGTGATCTGATCACCTTCACAAAGCCACACAGTGGAAACACCAGGGACTCTCTGGCCTCCGTCCCTGGGAACTTTGGGGGACTTTTGACCAAAGGAAAACAGCTGATTCTAAGTCAGTGTGTGGTAATTCCTAAGTCTGTCTGTACATCTCAAGGAACCAGGAAAGGAGGCAGGGAAGAAGGGCTAGGCTGGACAGCAGCTGAGCTCAACCCAAAGGCACCCATTTTGCAAACATTTTCCATGCCATCTGCTTATCAGTTTGTCCTCATCCTCTGACTTCATCAGATTATTATCTCCCTAAGAAGGGCCCAGAACCACTGACTGGTTACATAATGTAAGAATTAGATATTGGAGAATTAATGTTGACCTAGTTAGAGGTTTGGTTCTTGCCTAGGATGATCTTTCTGAAGAAGTGACCGTGAAGTAGGGGACAAACATTCAGCTCTGTTTGCAGAGACCCTACAAATGGGATTGTTTCTCTCACCGTCTTCCCTCTGAGGCCCATTGGAGAAGGTCGGAAGCATCTCCTGCTAGTGGCTCACAATCACATCGCAACTTTTTCTAGAATCCAAACATGATAGGACTTTAGGCCATCTAGTCCTGTTATCA